CTATCTATAAGAAGCACTGCAGAAATTCACCAAAGATCCTCAGTCTGTATCTTCCAAACCTACAAACACTTTCATCTAGAAGGACAAAGGCAGCAGACATATGGGAACATCACCATTTGCAAGTTCCCCTTCAAGCAGCTCACTACCCTGACTCGGAAATATATTGCCATTCCTTCACTGTTGCTGAGTCAATACCCTGGAATTGTGGGTCAACTACAGCATGTGGACTGCAGCGGTTCAAGAAGGCAGCTCACCACCACCTTCTCAAGGGCAACCTGTGATGGGCAATAAATGCTGGCAAGCCAGTGATACTCACATCCTATGAATGAGTTAATAAAAAGTAATCCCCCATAAGGATGTAATCATCCCCATGCAGTGTGAATAATTGAGTAGTTATCTTCATTGAAGGAGAGGATAGAATATTATGTGGATGTAAAGACTCCCTCTGCTGTTGGAGATACAATGTTTAGAATACCTTACTTAGATTTGTGAGTTGTTGAATATCTTCATTCATCCCTGGCAAGTACGCAGATTGACATGATAATTGGCTTGAGCATTCAATACCCGTATGCCCTTTGTATAACATATACACAATATATTGGTGTAATGTTTTTGGTATTAGGACTTGTCTTCCTTTGAAAATTACTTGTTGTGATGTCCCAGATTCATCTCTGTATACCCAAAACTAACAAATCTTCTCAGGTACTTCTTTAATCCTATCAGAACATCTGAGAATAATGGTCTTTTGCTGTTCTTGTAGTTGCTCATTTGCAAATGTTTTTATTGTCTCTGGCCAAAGTGTAGTTGGATAAATTTGAGAATGGCCCAACTGATTCCAGGGATGGTGGGTCTGACATATGAGGAGAGATTGACTAGGTTGGGATTGTTTTTGCTAGAATTCAGATGAATGAGGAGGATCTCGCAGAGACTTATAAAATTCTAATAGGACTGGACAGGGTAGATGCAGAGATGATGTTCCGGGGTCACGGTATGAGGAATTAGGGTAGACGATTTAGAACGGAGATGAGGAGACATTTCTTCGCTCAAAGAGTGGTGAGCCTGTGGAATTCATTACCACAAGAAGTAGTTGATCTCGAAACATTGAATGTATTCAAAAGGCAACACAGTGTGGAGTTGGAGGAACACAGCAGGCCAGGCAACATCAGAGGAGCAGGAAAGTTGACATTTCAGGTCGGGAAGCTTCTTTCTGAAGAACTTTCCTGCTCCTCTGATGCTGCCTGGCCTGTTTTCTTCCTCCAGCTCCAAACTGTGTTCCCTCTGACTCCAGCATCTGCAGTTCTTGCTATTTCTGAATGTATTCAAGAGGTGACTAGATATAGCACTTGGGGTGAATGGGATCAAAGGTTATGGGGAGAAAGCAGGATTAGGCTATTGAGTTGGACAATCAGCCATGATCATGAAGAATGGGAGAGCAGGCTTGAAGGGCCAAATGGCCTCCATCTGCTCCTATCTTCAATGTTTCTATGTTTCTACGTTTCTATGTAATGAAGAACATTGATGTGCAGATCAAGAGAAGTAGCAAAGCCAGAAATTGCGGGAAAAATTCAAAGGATCTGGCATCATCTGTGGAGAGAAAGCAGAGTTAATATTTTGGGTCCAGTGATCATTCTTCAGAACTGACTGTAGTTAGGAGACAAGTGATAAATATGCTGAAGATGAGATAGTAGGAACTGCAGATGCTGGAGAATCCGAGACAACAAGGTG